TTTAAAAGGATGTTAATAAAAAAAAAAAATCAATGAAAATAATTAAAACAATATGTTTTGTCCCACAGATGTACATGTAACAGTTCCGTCTAAAACTATCCTTGTTTATATTTACAAGCCAACAAACCTCTAGATAGGAACAGTTTCATTGTTTTGACAAATAATTCATGGCCTGGTTTATCTAAAACCAGCTGTGTGACAACCACACACAGAAAAGTCAGTTTGATGCATACATGTTTCCATTGCTTGGTGTCACACCGCGGACACACCATTCTGACGGATGACCTTTGACCTCTGCATGTTACTAATTGACTTGTTTCTGCGGCATGTTAATCGGTATGTACATGCACTTTCTACTATAAATGTAATTAACTTCTAACTAGTTTCAGTTATTTAAAAAATGAACATTTAAGACCAAGGATGTCATTTTTATCACAGCCAATACCTGATGCAGAAATAAGTAACTATATAATGTATACATATATACATGTATATTTTCGTTCTGGCTGATTCAGACACCAGGTGAAAATTCATGTGAATTGAGTGGAATCTGTGACATAGAGTCAGTAACAATGTATGTTGTGTTTGTCATGACTTCAGATGCACAAGCACTGTATTAACACTGTATTAACACCACTGTATTAACACTGTATTAACACTGTATTAACACTACTTGAAGAAACTGATCGATACACTTACATTATTTTTATAAAAATACACAAAAACATTTTCATATAAAATTCAATTTAACAGTGAATCATTGAATTTTGTGTTTACTCATTAACAATTGAAATAGGAAGCTCTAATTTGAGGCTGTAGTACACATTTGCATGATCAATCATGTGGCACCAGCCAATCATGGTTTGAACTCTATTAACCATAGTACCCCAGGTATATCATTTCACCCATTGATGATCCAGCTGTGGTTACTCAACCGTAACACGTGGGTGTTCATATCACGCTTGAGGCATTATTGAAGTAGACTTAATATATAACATGAATTCATGTATTCATTCATAAATCAAGTAATTTTAAGGCAGAGTTATATTAAAGGTTACTTTTTCTCATAGACCTCCTGAAGTTTTCTTAGACCAGACAATGACCAAGAAAACTTTCTTTACATATTTTGTGCTTGATAACATAAGATTTAGAAAATATGTGAAATAATAAAGGAGGTAAAAATCTGTCTCAGAATACTTTTCCCTTACTTAAGTACTTAATATCAATTATACACATGATACAAAAACAATCTTCAAAGACAACGTAGTTTATGAAGTAAAGTAATTCCACAAACCTATGCTTTTCATGGTGATTGTCTATGGGTCAACAGGAAGTCAACCACAGCCATAGTTACCCATATGCATGGTCATTTACATGTAAAAGTCTGTAAAGCTCTATCTATAATGGGCCTATGATCTGTGCCTCAATCATATATTTATCTGTTCACAACAGACAGATTCCTGTTTATCAGTGAAGATTCTAGGTATAGGATAATTTTTGAAAGCTAGATGGTGGTTCTAACAGGCAATGTCAGAATTTAAAAGGGATGTTATTTACACCCCAAATGTAATGGATGAGTTAAGTTCTTTCATTTACTGAATTATTTTCGTTATAAAATTGTATACACGTGTATTATGTTTTCTTTCATTGTAAATATTTGTTAATTGCTATTTATATTTTAACCATTTGTATCTATATTAATGCATCAATGATTTCTGACTCCATTAATTGTTCACTAGACTTACAACGTATGTGTACTTTGCTTATGTATCTTGGGAAGGGGGCATGTCATGTACTTAAATCAGACCTTGTGCCCCTCAGTATAAAGAGTTATGGCCCTTTATTTGCATTTAATACCAAGGATAGTCCCGAGCATAACTTCCTTGCCAAATTATTTCGCCTACTTTCACCAAACTTGGTATACAATGAATTTATGGATCTTTGAAAGGCAGAGCTTTGCAAGCAGTGGGTCTAGTGCCCTCTGTGTACAATAAGTGGAAATGGATGCTACATGACGTGTGACATGGGTCTAGTGCCCTCTATGTACAATAAGTAGAAATGGATGCCACATGACGTGTGACGTGGGTCTAGTGCCCTCTGTGTACAATAAGTAGAAATGGATGCTACATGACATGTGACGTGGGTCAAGTGCCCTCTGTGTACAATAAGTGGAAATGGATGCTACATGACGTGTGACATGGGTCTAGTGCCCTCTGTGTACAATAAGTGGAACTGGATGCTACATGACGTGTGACGTGGGTCAAGTGCCCTCTGTGTACAATAAGTAGAAATGGATGCCACATGACGTGTGACGTGGGTCTAGTGCCCTCTGTGTACAATAAGTAGAAATGGATGCTACATGACGTGTGACGTGGGTCTAGTGCCCTCTGTGTACAATAAGTGGAAATGGATGCTACATGACGTGTGACATGGGTCTAGTGCCCTCTGTGTACAATAAGTGGAACTGGATGCTACATGACGTGTGACGTGGGTCTAGTGCCCTCTGTGTACAATAAGTAGAAATGGATGCTACATGACGTGTGACGTGGGTCTAGTGCCCTCTGTGTACAATAAGTGGAAATGGATGCTACATGACGTGTGACATGGGTCTAGTGCCCTCTGTGTACAATAAGTGGAACTGGATGCTACATGACGTGTGACGTGGGTCTAGTGCCCTCTGTGTACAATAAGTAGAAATGGATGCTACATGACGTGTGACGTGGGTCTAGTGCCCTCTGTGTACAATAAGTGGAAATGGATGCTACATGACGTGTGACATGGGTCTAGTGCCCTCTGTGTACAATAAGTGGAACTGGATGCTACATGACGTGTGACGTGGGTCTAGTGCCCTCTGTGTACAATAAGTAGAAATGGATGCTACATGACGTGTGACGTGGGTCTAGTGCCCTCTGTGTACAATAAGTGGAAATGGATGCTACATGACGTGTGACGTGGGTCTAGTGCCCTCTGTGTACAATAAGTGGAAATGGATGCTACATGACGTGTGACGTGGGTCTAGTGCCCTCTGTGTACAATAAGTGGAAATGGATGCTACATGACGTGTGACGTGGGTCTAGTGCCCTCTGTGTACAATAAGTGGAAATGGATGCTACATGACGTGTGACGTGGGTCTAGTGCCCTCTGTGTACAATAAGTGGAAATGGATGCTACATGACGTGTGACGTGGGTCTAGTGCCCTCTGTGTACAATAAGTGGAAATGGATGCTACATGACGTGTGACGTGGGTCTAGTGCCCTCTGTGTACAATAAGTGGAAATGGATGCTACATGACGTGTGACGTGGGTCTAGTGCCCTCTGTGTACAATAAGTGGAAATGGATGCTACATGACGTGTGACGTGGGTCTAGTGCCCTCTGTGTACAATAAGTGGAAATGGATGCTACATGACGTGTGACGTGGGTCTAGTGCCCTCTGTGTACAATAAGTGGAAATGGATGCTACATGACGTGTGACGTGGGTCTAGTGCCCTCTGTGTACAATAAGTGGAAATGGATGCTACATGACGTGTGACGTGGGTCTAGTGCCCTCTGTGTACAATAAGTGGAAATGGATGCTACATGACGTGTGACGTGGGTCTAGTGCCCTCTGTGTACAATAAGTGGAAATGGATGCTACATGACGTGTGACGTGGGTCTAGTGCCCTCTGTGTACAATAAGTGGAAATGGATGCTACATGACGTGTGACGTGGGTCTAGTGCCCTCTGTGTACAATAAGTGGAAATGGATGCTACATGACGTGTGACGTGGGTCTAGTGCCCTCTGTGTACAATAAGTGGAAATGGATGCTACATGACGTGTGACGTGGGTCTAGTGCCCTCTGTGTACAATAAGTGGAAATGGATGCTACATGACGTGTGACGTGGGTCTAGTGCCCTCTGTGTACAATAAGTGGAAATGGATGCTACATGACGTGTGACGTGGGTCTAGTGCTCTCTGTGTACAATAAGTGGAAATGGATGCTACATGACGTGTGACGTGGTTCTAGTGCCCTCTGTGTACAATAAGTAGAAATGGATGCCATATGACGTGTGACGTGGGTCTAGTGCCCTCTGTGTACTATAAGTGGAAATGGATCCCACATGACGTGTGAAGTGGGTCTAGTGCCCTCTGTGTACAATAAGTAGAAATTGATGCTACATGACGTGTGACGTGGGCCTAGTGCCCTCTGTGTACAATAAGTAGAAATGGATGCTACATGACATGTGACGTGGGTCAAGTGCCCTCTGTGTACAATAAGTAGAAATGGATGCCACATGACGAGTGGCGTTGGTCTAGTGCCCTCTGTGTACAATAAGTAGAAATGGATGCTACATGACATGTGACGTGGGTCAAGTGCCCTCTGTGTACAATAAGTGGAAATGGATGCCACATGACGTGTGATGTTGTTCTAGTGCTCTCTGTGTACAATAAGTAGAAATTGATGCTACATGATGTGTGACGTGGGTCTAGTGCCCTCTGTGTACAATAGGTGGAAATGGATGCCACATGACGTGTGACGTGGGTCTAGTGCCCTCTGTGTAAAATAAGTGGAAATTGATGCCACATGACGTGTGAAGTGGGTCTAGTGCCCTCTGTGTACAATAAGGAGAAATGGATGCCACATGACGTGTGACGTGGGTCTAGTGACCTCTGTGTACAATAGGTGGAAATGGATGCTACATGACATGTGACGTGGGTCAAGTGCCCTCTGTGTACAATAAGTAGAAATGGATGCCACATGACGTGTGACGTGTTTATGTATTGTTCTGATTTGTTTGTGGTACTCTTTTTAGATTTTGCTTTAAAAGTAAAATGAAAGGTCATTTTTTAAATTTCTAATCTTTATACACAAAAGTGACTTCATTGACCCTTTGAAACACAATTTATTACTAAATTAAGGACAATGGCCAGCTCGACTATTTTCAAAAATCCCCAGAAAATCTGCTACAAAATGTAAGTACATAAATTTGACATAAGGGATCACTTCCTCATGTTTTTCAGTGTCAGTGCCAATCCTTATACTAAAGCTTGTTGTGACGCCGTTCCATCGTGGATTCTACTGCGATGATGAGAGTCTTATGCACCCCCACAAACACGATACCATTCCAACCTGGGCGGCCGCCATGGCTGCCTTCAGTATCCCAATCATATGTGTGAGTATACATTAAACATCCATTTTCAAGCAAAACCTTGTAATACTTCCACTGTATGTCAAGTGAAATTTTGGCATTACATGTATATAACGTTAATGTTGGAAATATATTCAAGGGTACATAAAGTCAGGGGTGTACAATTTCATAATTAAAGTTCTGGCTAGTCCACAGACCTAATTTGAAAAAGTACATTTGCCCAACTTTTATTTCAGAAATGTTTGAAAAGTTTGGCTAGCCCTTATGTAAAAAATCTACAAGTCCCAGGCCATGGTCTTGTGGAATCTTACACTGATCCTGACAGAAAAAAGTGGATTAATTAAGAAAAAGGAGGAAATCGATGAGTACACATTAAAGTATAACACCTTAACGGTGTTAACTCATTCACCCCTGATATTTCATGATGAACTATTCCAACCTTTGAATTGGAAGAGTTCAAATGTGTCTCCAGGGGTTGAATGAGTTAAGAGATTACTAATTAATGAGTGCTAGTTACATTTGTAATGTTAATGCTCCAATAACAATATCATCTTTGAAGATAGGTATTTTTTTATATGCAAGATCATTCTTTATTAAAACTGGACCCCCCTGGGAGTACATAATATGGCAGGATTGCAAAGAGTAATAGATTGTAGAGTGTCCACCTATATATAAACCATACATTGTCGTTGTCTGTACCATAATTTTGATGGGCTAAGAAAATCATGTGTATTGGACAGAGTATACTCACTGTAAATGATTTTGTCATATAAATACATGTCGTTATATATTTAGAAGGTCAGAATGATTAAAATTATTTTTTCAAATTATTTGCAGATGACTATTATCGAGGGCGTGCGTTTGTCAATGTTCAAAAGAAGTTGCCATTGTGGAGTGGTACAGAAACGATACTTCCAGGTCCTCTATAGATGCCTAGGTGCATTTTTATTCGGGGCAGCGGTGACCCAGTTGACGACGGATATTGCTAAATATAGCCTAGGAAGACTTCGGCCACATTTTCTGACTGTGTGTAAACCTGATATAAAAAACTGTTCAGCGCAGACAGGATACATTGAAACATCAGTCTGTACTGGTACAGATCTGGCAGCCATTCAAGAGGCCAGGTACATGTATTTACAGTGTAAAGATCTAAATAATAAGATATTTTTACCTATAAATATCAAAATTTTCCATAATTTATTTCATCATATTTTTGAGAAATTTTATCTTTGCATCAATTCCATTTTAATTCAAAATTTGAAATATCTAATGAATTAATATAACATAATGAATGATTCTTCAACATTACATTGTTATATTTTCAGGCTTTCCTTTCCATCGGGACATACATCCATAACTATGTACTGTTTTGTGTATATCATGGTAAGTTACTGAATTGTTGTACTGATTAGTTCCATGTTTCGTACTACAATGTATTCCACTATTTGAATGGTATAAAGCTTTCTGGTTACTTTTTAGGTCACCTGAGACAAAGTCTCAAGTGACCTATTGCAATCGCCTTTTGTCCGGCGGTAGTGCGTCCATAAACAATTTACATTTTCAACTTCTTCTCCAAAACCCCTGAACGAATTTCAATGAAATTTTGCAGAATTTACCTTCCATGGCCAAAGGTCAACAAAAATAGTGGCTGGTTTGGTCTAATCCATTACTCTGTAGGCACAGTTATAGGTCAGATAAGACAGGGGTCAGAATATATGTTTAATCAAATCTATAACCTGTAACTGAGCGAGATCGGGTTATCTCAGTCGAGTGTTAAGATTCTGTGACAAAATCCCAGCCGAGGCTGATGTTACAGAATCTTAGCCTGAGACTGAGATAACCCGATCTTGCTCAGTTACAGGTAATTGTTTTTTTTCTCGCACCTTTTAGTTAAAAAAACCCTATTCAAATTTGCTTAAAATTACAAGTATTCCGCCTTGGGCCTCAAATGATATGACCTCTTCACTACTTAAGCTACATTTGAATGCTTCCACGTAAAAACTTAGTCCGTCCTTACATAGATTACAACATATTTCACAGTGTAGAATATATTTTATCTACATTATCAAATATCTAACAACATCAAAACTATACATATAACGTCAAAACAGAACATTTATAATGCAAATTGTCAATTTCAAGTAGTTAACACGCGGATAAATATATCGCAGTGTAAACATTCCGCGAAATGTCACGTAAAGGTACAAGACAGAAAGGATGAGATAGAAAAATCTAGCATGAGGTATGACGTGGGATATCTCTGTCTGAGGTGCGAGAATTAGAATTATTTATCCTTATTAGAAATACAATTGACGTTTATGTTTGGTTAGACAGGATATTAAAATATTCAGGGGGAAGATAAGGCAGGTTTCATTGTTAGTTTATTTCCCATTGTTACAAATGCAGATTTAAATAACAATTTTTAGATTTCATCATGTTGGAAAAACACTTGGCATGAAAATGTGGTTTAGTTAATCAAACTTTTTGTAAGTGGAAATAAGCATTACTTGAAGATATGTCAGAATATTAAAAGGAAATAAATTGATGCTGATGATTTTTTTCCAGATTTACCTGCAAATGAGGTTTAAGTGGCGGAAGTGTTGGTTACTAAGGCCTTTCATCCAGGTCCTGTTGTTCTACATGGCATACTACACTTCTCTGTCACGTATCTCTGACTACATGCATCACTGGAGTGACGTCCTAGGCGGAGCCGTAGTGGGGCTGGCAGTCTGTTTACTCGTGGTGAGTTGTACTGAAAACATACTGTGTCCTCTATTGGTGCATCATACTGAAAATATACTTACAAGTGTCCTAGTACTTAGTCATACTTAAATTATATTGATATGTGTCACCTATTGATATGTAATAGGACGTTTGTTGGGAGAGCCTGTCCAGCGTCAGTAGATGTAAGTGATTGTATAGTAATTTCGGTATTCCCCAAAACTACCGACAAACTGACCAGCAGCAATCCCCAAGAATGTCCCGCTGCGTCCGTCTGTACAGTCAGACACAGGTCCGTCTGAGTTATAAATCAATCAACACCTTGTTTCAAAGTTAACTAAGGTTTATTTCATATCACATGGCTAAGGTAGCCGTTAAAACATGGCAAACAATACGTACACTAATAACAGTATACAGAACAAAACCTTCAGTGTAAAGAAAATAATGAACTTAAATCTATTAGCCCCCACGTGGTAAAATAAGGCCTATAGGTAATTGTAACTATTCTATAATTAAAAAGGTAAAAACCAGCCCCTCCCGGAACACTTCCTTACCCTAACGTGGGTGTACTGCTTTCAGTACATCGGTAGCACTGTTTTCAGCGCCTCGGTGGAGGGGTTTTCCCCTCCTGGTATAGCCAGCTTTCCGGCCACGCAGGTCCACGATTTTGCTTGTGCACCCCGTTTTATACCCCAGCCTCCTGGCCCTATATAACGTGTATCGGACACCCATTCTGATTGGCTTAATCTATGGTGTATACGTTTACGCAGTGAGCTCATAAACTCTTCCGGTAACTCCCCAACATCCGGTTATCTCAAAAGTAAACACCCATGTAAACAAATAGACTGCACCAGTGATATCGTTACATACGCCGACAGAATAGCCATACCGAATCTTTAGTTACACTAGGACGGCAATAAAGAGATACGCATGGAAAGCAGTAAAACAAACACTTAAGCTAGCAACCTGTTTTCCCACATTCCTCGCCCCTTAATATTAAAATATTATTTTAAACAAAATATACCTTTGTCTAATCATAGCTACCCTAACACCCAGGGGAGACTCTAGTAATATAAACTGGCATATTCATATACATATATAGAAAACTTCAAAACTTGCAATAAACAAGTCTCTTACTAACATATACATATATAAGGAGCAGGCAATTATTGACCTCCTTATAGGTAGAAAAATGAAACCAACCCTGATAAAAATACATCTAACCTGGTCAACTACAAACAAAACATTGTTTCAATAATACACAAAAATAGGACATACATGTAACTGGTAATACAATTCCTGAAAGAGAATACATACAATAACATGTAAAATCAGCATAACTTCCTGTAAATCCAGAATGAATAAAGTTTGTTTACTAAAATGTCACTGTAAGTTGGCAAAGTTCTTGAAAATGAAAGCATAACACTAAACACAGTGGCAAATTGAAAAAAGCCCAGGCATATTAAAGCTTAATCCAGTGAGTCTGTTAACATCATCAGCAGTCTGTCTAGCTGGTAGCATGGATCCATCTTCCTCCTGGTTTGGTTCCTTTTTCTGGAGCGTGTGGAGCTCCCAATCCTGTTGGCTCTCTGTCCCTGGATGGACCATCGAAACGGCACTCTTCTTATGAACATTTTTGGGACATTGAACTCGGTGTAACTGATTACAGTTCCTGGAGAACCTCATCCATGTTCACAGCAGTCACAGCCTAACTGTTGTACAGGCATTCCAGTGTTCACAGCGGTCACAGCCTAACTGTTGTACAGACATTCCAGTGTTCACAGCGGTCACAGCCTAACTGTTGTACAGACATTCCAGTGTTAGGCAGCATACCTTAGCACTATTTACCTGTCTTATTTATTAAAGTGATTCTCTTTAAATTGTTGTTGAATCCCGTTCCTTTACAAACATAAAACCCATAGCAATTATGAAGTAGGTTACTAGGTTATCTCCCTTAGACTATCACATAACTGTACTAATAGTCCTAAGAAGATCACTTCCTATTGGTGCATCATACTGAAAGTATACTTACTGGTGTCCTACTAACTAGACTTACTTAAATTATACTGATCTGTGTCGCCTATTGGTGCATCATACTGAAATTATACTTACTGGTATCCTACTAACTAGTCTTACTGAAATTATACTGATCTGTGTCACGTATTGGTGCATCATACTGAAAGTATACTTACTGGTATCCTACTAATTAGTCATACTTAAATTATACTGATCTGTGTCACCTATTGGTGCATCATACTTTCAGTATGATGCACCAATAGGAGACACAGATCAGTATAATTTCAGTAAGACTAGTTAGTAGAACACCAGTAAGTACACTTTCAGTATGATGCACCAATAGGTGCATCATACTGAAAGTATACTTACTGTTGTCCTACTGAATAGTCATACTGAAATTATACTGATCTGTGTCACCTATTGGTACATCATACTGAAAGTATACTTACTGGTATCCTACTAATTAGTCATACTTAAATTATACTGATCTGTGTTACCTATTGGTGCATCATACTGAAAGTATCCTATACTTACTGGTGTCCTACTAACTAGCCTTACTTAAATTATACTGATCTGTGTCAACTATTGGTGCATCATACTGAAAGTGTACTTACTGGTGTTCTACTAACTAGTCTTACTGAAATTATACTGATCTGTGTCTCCTATTGGTGCATCATACTGAAAGTATACTATACTTACTGGTGTCCTACTAACTAGTCTTACTTAAATTATACTGATCTGTGTCACGTGTTGGTGCATCATACTGAAAGTATACTTACTGGTGTCCTACTAACTAGTCATACTTAAATTATACTGATCTGTGTCACCTGTTGGTGCATCATACTGAAAGTATACTTACTGGTGTCCTACTAACTAGTCTTACTTAAATTATACTGATCTGTGTCACCTATTGGTGCATCATACTGAAAGTGTACTTACTGGTGTTCTACTAACTAGTCTTACTGAAATTATACTGATCTGTGTCACCTATTGGTGCATCATACTGAAAGTATACTTACTGGTGTCCTACTAACTAGTCTTACTTAAATTACACTGTTCTGTGTCACCTATTGGTGCATCATACTGAAAGTTTACTTACTGGTGTCCTACTAACTAGTCTTACTTAAATTATACTGATCTGTGTCACCTATTGGGGCATCATACTGAAAGTTTACTTACTGGTGTCCTACTAACTAGTCTTACTGAAATTATACTGATCTGTGTCACCTATTGGTGCATCATACTGAAAGTATACTTACTGGTGTCCTACTAACTAGTCTTACTTAAATTATGCTGTTCTGTGTCACCTATTGGTGCATCATACTGAAAGTATACTTACTGGTGTCCTGCTAACTAGTCTTACTTAAATTATACTGATCTGTGTCACCTATTGGTGCATCACACTGAAAGTATACTTACTGGTGTCCTACTAACTAGTCTTACTGAAATTATACTGATCTGTGTCACCTATTGGTGCATCATACCGAAAGTATACTTACTGGTGTCCTACTAACTAGTCATACTGAAATAATACTGGTCTGTGTCACCTATTGGTGCATCATACTGAAAGTAATCTTACTGGTGTCCTACTAAATAGTCTTACTTAAATTATACTGATCTGTGTCACCTATTGGTGCATCATACTGAAAGTATACTTACTGGTGTCCTACTAAATAGTCTTACTTAAATTACACTGATCTGTGTCACCTATTGGTGCATCACACTGAAAGTATACTTACTAGTGTCCTACTAATTAGTCATACTTAAATTATACTGATCTGTGTCACCTAGCGGTGCATCATACTGAAAGTATACTTACTAGTGTCCTACTAATTAGTCATACTGAAATTATAATGATTTGTCTCGAAGTGATAAGCCATAATAAATTGATACTTCTAGATGGGAAAGGACATGTAGAAGTTATCTCCCGTTAAGTCTAACTTTATTCTTTTGGTTTCTCAGGTGTTCTGTGTGAGCGACATATTTACGGAGACATCATGCTGTAAACCAGTCGACCCTAATGACAGACCTGAAAATGACTTAACCCTCTTCAAACCTGCTCGCCACGATGATCGTCTTAGCTGCCAGACTTCCTCGGAATCTACAGTATCTACCAATAGTGCCCAACACATTATAGCCGTCTCCTAGCAGAGATCAATGGTTATACTGTAAATCACACTACTATTATGCCTCATATGCCTTAAGTACTGACGCTTGAATTCACATTGCGGACATTTGCTTGTAAGAAAAATATTTTAGTTACAATTTCAGAAAAATTCAGACTTATGTACTTACAGTTTTGATGTAATAGTTTTCTTTTAATCAAATCTTCTCAAATAAGCGATCACAAGAAAGTCGTAGGTCACATTCAAATGTGCTTGTATTAGGGTGACACAGAGCAACGATGAACCACCAAATAATTATTCAAGCATGACGATGGAGTAATTAGGTGATTGACCCTCCTGACGTATATATTTTATTGGATGCAATCATGCTATATTCCTTTCCGTATCACAAAACCTGTGTTCTACTTACCTAACCACTTAAACACAGCATTGACATTGGCTCTAACACTTTTATTTGTAAGGTAACATCCACATTTTCGATGTACCGGTAAAACCACAGAATAAACCCACCGACTCAAAATGTTTTTTGGAACATAACACAAAGAACAACTACATGTGAATGTTTTCCTATCGAAAAATATTCCGTTTTTTCCTCATTACTGTTAAGAGTACCAGTAGTTGGGACCAATAACATTGTTACCACGAATTTGAACTTTAACAAAACTTTTTGGTTCACTCAAGTCTGCAGATGGAAATGGTTACCATAGAAAAGATGACCTTGATCATTAGCAAAATCTTAAAAATATACAAAAATTGAATTTATTTACTTGAACGCAAAGTGACATACAAATGTAACAGTTCATTCTAGGAATGCTCTTAAAAAATAGGTAAAAATCCAAGTACTACTAGACAAGTTCTGTGATAATATTTTATTCAATTCTGCAAGGAATTTTAACCATTCCATTCACTGCAAACTAAATATTTATTTTTAAACCATAAAAATATATAAAATCAGAAAGATTCTGTAATATAACAAACTGCATAAGACACAGTCAAAATATTTTGCAGCTAAAACAAATATCTTTTATGTTCTTTCCTAAACATTTGCTAAAACCAAAATTTGGTTTGTGAAGAATAATGCAGCACATGTATTCTTTTTTCATTATTGGATAAATCTAAATATTATCTACAGTTTATTGGATAAATCTAGATATTATCTACACAGTTTATTGGATCAATCAATTTTCATCTTCACAGTTTATTGGATAAATCGAAATATTATCTTATGTATAGTATACAGATAACTGGATAAATCTAAATATTATCTACACAGTTAATTGGATAAATCGAAATATTATCTACACAGTTTATAAGATAAATCTAAAAATTATTTACACAGTTTATTTGATAAATCTAGATATTATCTACAGGTTAACTGGATAAATCTATCTAAATATTATCTACAGTTTATTTGATAATCTTAATATTATCTACTAAGTTTATTGGATAAATATAACCATTATCTACAAAGTTTATTGGATAAATCTTAATATTATCTACAAAGTTTATTAGATAAATCTAGATATTATTTACAAAGTTTATTGGATAAATCTAAATATCATCTACACAGTTTATTTGATAAATCTAAATATTATCTACAGTTATCTAAATTTTCTCATTGTCACATTATATTTAACTCTTAGATAATGAGGTTCAACAGTTTTTCATACTGAAATGAAGATTTGGTTTAGAAAACTGGCACTTGTTAATATTTCTGATGAGTAGTTTGTGTCTTTTGCCCTTTAAAGTGAGTGCTTTTGTGTCCCAGATGTTTCTTTTGTCCAACACTTGAATGTGATTTTCAAGACATTTGAATGCAAATAAAGTATCTGATGACAGATTCTTGTGAATATATAGCATACTTGTGTATGTGTTATGTAAAATCTCTCTGAAATATAACTGATCAATTTGACATGCATTAATTTATTTCTGATTTATCCTGTGGTTAAAAAATCGTGGTAAGATGGCATCAATTATTCTAAAAATCCTCTACTGTAATTAGAAATATTGTTATTGTTAATCAATACATTTTTAACTTGAACATTCCAGTTAGATGCCCCTGTTACAACGTAATCATAATGTATACTATGTGCTTGAATCAACTGTCCTTCCCTCTATAAATAATGCTTTTATTGTTCACGAGCAAGATGAAGGATTTGAGTTGATTACTTTACATGTAATTAAGTCTCACAGTTTTATAGAGGAATGGGTAGTTGTACATAGCACCTGGGAATATCACAACGGTAAGTTACTTGTCATTATTGAAATGATTTTAATTTGAATGCCATATCTTAAATTAAGGTAAAAACATATGACAAATTTATCACAAGTTCTGGATCTTAAGAATATTATTTTCTGGTGCTGAATGTATGTTTTATTTTATGTATATAGCTATGTAGATTAATATGAATTTATTTTAGTTACCATGTATGTACATGGAAATACCGGTAATCACTTACAGTTTAATTTTCAATATGCCTATCCTGCATTTATTGATCGTGAAGAAAATAATACTGTCTTAATAAAACCCATTTTAGCAGTTGTGTACGCCAGTTAACTCTTGCAAGTATTAAATCAGCCTACTTTATTATTCAATAATTTGTGAACCACATTTAGACGAAGTACGAACCTCGTTGTAGGTTGTGATAAACCGGTATTATTATCACTAATTTCTAACACCTGTCTTTTAATTTGTTTATGAAGCGATCTCACATGCATTACATTCCGCTAAGTTCTCAGGCAATTCTCTAAAACTTTCATTATCTAATTTCGGTTTACATTATATATTTGTTTTGAATGTTTTCACATAATGTACTAGTGATAAATTATCAAATGTGCTATAAATACATTGTATGTGTGTCTATATGAAATATAGTGTATACTGTGTGTACGCTGTTTTTGTGTGTGTCAGTACTACACTAGTACCTATATGTACATGGTCTAAACTAAATGTTGCTGGTGAGTACAAAGTTTATTTGCTAATTCAAGTTAAGAACGAATTCAGATTTAAAAGGTAAGGTCTTTTTACCATAAAAATATCAAACAGTTCCTATTCAGGACTTTTTAACATAAAATATTGTCCTTCAATGACCATATAGATGTTGATAGGACGTTAAACAATACTATACCAAACCATAGAAATATTACATGTAATATAGATCTATATGCACAAGATATGGAATGTTTCAATGAGGAAAGCAAAGGACAATGGACATTAAGGGCCAAAAATGGCCTCATCTCAAAAATTACTTGTTTTTGCCTCACTTTTGACCAACAAGTATACATTCAAACAAATTTTTAAGTTTTTTCCAATTATCAATTATTTTTAGAGACATTTCATTATTGCAGTTAATTCCAGTAATCTATTTCCAAACCACACTGACTTTTTGACTAGATGGAAATTTAAGCTACATTGTACCTACAGAAAATTGCAAGTGGGTTATATTTTGATTTGTAAAACATTTCAGTATGTTTGTAAATGTAAGTCTCTAACCCAGATAATATACATGTATGTGCAGTTTACATATCCTTCTTCTTCAGCTGCAGAAATGGTCCATAAAATTAAATTCATTGATCAAGCAGTTAAACCTCAGTATCCACCTACATAAACTGATATCAGTGTTTATTTTAAACATTTTCTTCAGGTTGGTAAATATGGATTATGAAAAGTTCTTTTTACACAACCAAAAAAATTGTCTATGTGACATTTCGATGACTAGTACGATATGTACACTGTCACCTTCATCAGACAAATGATCAGTGAAGCGTATGCACACAAAGGTGTAAAACGTGTACAAGTTGTCCACAAAATCGATGTTAATTTGGTTACGCTGTCATCGAAATATCACATAGAAACTCTGATTGGTCATGTAAAAGAACTTTTCACAAATGATATCAGTGTTTCATGTAAATATGTATGCTTATGTGCCTCTGGCCTAATTTTATAATCATGTTTTGATTATATTTTATGGAACTGAGCAATATTTTTATACAAATAATATGATATGGCTGTGATTACTGTATAGCTACAGTTTGTATTTTCCCTCCTCTAAATTACAAATTACCACTACATAAGTGAAAAATGGAGAAGACATATTATGTATCTCTCAGTCATGAAAAACTTATCTACAAGGGAGATAAGCGAGTTCAAGAAAAAATTTGTTATTTAGATTTGATTCCTTCACTTGAACAATTATCTTGAGAACAGGTTACATGTATCTATAGATATTGAGAGGTTAGTAGTATTTTCACATGTTGAAGCCAATTCTTATTAAACAGATGATACAGAAATCTGTAAAAAAGTCTTTTCTCCAATATTTTGTGCTTTTAGGTAGGAATAAACCTAGGAGTATCTGTAACATACTGTCCAATGATAAGACTGCCTACACTAATCGGGAATACCCATTTCTGTAATTGTATTCTACAAAAGCGAAGTTATCACTATTTTTGCAATGTGTGGAGTTTATACAGTGTTATAAAGTATACATAGCTAATGTGCCATAATACTATGGATTTGTGATTATGACCATGTCTGTAGCAATCTTAGAAATAACGAATTATTTGACAACAGTTAGTGCCTTTTTAGCTATTTATGCTAACACTGTTATAGAGTTAAATGCATTATGCACTTCCCTGCAGACTGAATTCAACACTGCGAACTAAATATTGCTGGTAGCTTGCTATCATTGAATGCTACAAAGTTTGTGTAAACATAAGACCTTGACGTATATATATAATTGAGTAACATATATATGAGCCAGATATCTTATAATGTCCAAACATTTTTTTCTGAAGAACGTCAAGACCGAAGGTTGTGAAGTTTTGCCAGTAACCCTGGGGGTGACAGACTGCAAGTACACATTATTAATGTGGGATGCCGTTGAAAATGCAGAAGATGAAATCCAAAAAAAAATTTTTCCAAGGCGATATACTGCATTTTGTTTGTCAAAAAATATGTTTGATCCTCTAGAGGATATGTACAGGTTCCTGAATTTAACATTGTTCATATACATAATATATTATCATATTACATATATAACATACCTTGCAGTGTTGTGATATAACATTTTTATACTGTGGTTAAAGATATATTCCCTACATTGTTGTTTTTTTTTATCCATTTTGTATATTTGATGCACATCTCAAAGAACACTGAAAATTTGTTCATAAAAAAAAAAATGGTTTCCGATACTTTAATTTGCAAAACTTAAAGAGCTGTTTGAAAAGGTTTCTTGATACATGCATATTAATGTATATTGATTTGTTAATTAATTGGTTTGATGAATTTTATATAAGTTTTACATTCCTACTCAGCTGTGTACCATAAAACACAAGATGTAAACCACCCAATGTCTCTCTCATGCTCCTTCAGGTAAAGTAAACAACAGCATCTTCTGAGTCTGGAAAATTGCCACTATATGACTGTATTTTCTAAGATAAAGCATCATAAATGAGTGTTTTTTTTCTTGCTTACATCTTCTTTTACTTTGCAGAGTTTACATATATCCTAACTTAGACAGTGCAGTTACAAACATAACCAGTCTGGTTAGGTGTAAGTTTGGTAGAGTACATAAGTCCTCCTCAGGAAGTTGTGTAAAGATCCTTCAATTTCGAGAGACTTTAGCTTCCATTCTGTAAAATGTGATCTTTGAGACATATCTACATGCAGGTTTTTTTAAAATTTAAATTTACAATTGTTTTTTTAAATGGGCAGTGCTGTTTTTACAGTGTTAATGATGTTTTTTTCATGGATTTTTTCCCCATATTTTGTTTAGGTATGGTGATGTAAACCATATGAAATCTGTAAATACATTTATCACCGTGACATTAAGTTTTAGATATATTTGCTCAATTTGCATAAATATTTGATTTTAATTTTGTACATTTTGTGACACAATTATATTGTTTGACACAAACCTAGTTTTGGTAGCTTTTTTTGTAATTTATTTTGTTTCTACAAAAACTGAAGCGAGCATATTGCCACCCCGGTATCTTGTATATTATACTGTACATCAGGATCATGAATAAGCGGCAATCATCACATGATAAGTGAAAAAAATGTATTTTTGATTTAACTTCTGTTATGTACATTGTATATACATGTACTGTATATATACATATCCTATATTTTTACTTTAGAAATAAATTTATGCCCATTCCATAAGAATTGTTTGAAGAAGATATGTTTGGTTTTATTTGAGGAATCGTTTGTTGATTAGAGCTGCATACAAGCATGAGAATGACCATTATTAAATTTCCACACACCTGGATCAAGGGGACGTTAAAAGGTTTCCTTTTTTCTGTTAGCCACTACATCCGTCCTCGAGACATATTGTTAAGACAAATATATCAAATGTAGGTCAGTGAACTATATCTTTCACATCACTGACTTTGCAATTGGTTGGACTTTGCATTAAGCTGATTTTGTATTTATATGGGAGCGAGGGCATATGCACGTACTGCATGTGTGTTCGACAAATATGTTCAAGTTACATATAGTTCGGATCACACACAAGACTCATTTTTCTCAATCGAGGGGTGCATGTTAATCTTAATTCCAATTAATCACTCACATTGTTGTGTTTTGGATATTGGAAATATGATTCTCATACATTTTGGATTCAAAAATGGAAATTAGGTGGTTACTTTTCGCAACACTTGAAATACTGTTTCATAAAACGCTCATGGGGCCAGCAGAATAACCTCTGTCACATATATATAGCATGTAGTATTGATTAGACCTGTTGTACCACAAAAACTGTAAATGTATAATGTTCAAAGATAAAGTTGTGAAATGTCATATACGACGAATAGACAGTTGTTTGGAAAGAAAGAAAAAAATAATGGAAAATAATGGAGAAAAGTAACAAAAATCAGCTACTCGAGTGGAGCGCAAGACCAGATTTCAGTATGCTTCACTCAAACTTCCCAAAATATATAACCAGTTTGGCAAACATACGTGAAATACACAAGGAAGTTTTGCTCCACACATCTTCAGTATAACCAGTGACGAGTCATAGCCATATCACACTTGCCTGTTTCTCCCCAAACAATCACGCCACTTCTACTGAGCCCCAATGGATCCTCATCATGTGATGTACAGCAGCTGTAGCATCAATCACAGGGGTTCGTTTTATGTGTGGTGGACCCATATCAGCATAGCATGTGTATTTCAGACATTTGTAACGAACCCCTGTGCATCAATGGTAAACAATCGTATAACTTACCACAGAAACCTTACCCTCGGGACTTTTAGGCGGAAGTCGACTTCTGTGGGTCACGTAACTTACCATAACAAACTTTAGCTTGTGATTGTAAAAATAAGCTTACAAACACATAATGAAGCAATGGCTTGTCTGCATATCATACAACTCACATACTACATACATATCGATCAATACTTGTTTATATATGAACATCATAAAATCACATGCAGATGCATATTGTCTTAAATTATTACATGCAAGGTTTTGAGTGCATAGAAAGTTACTGACCAATTATACAGTTTTAATCTATTACTTTAACATAAGCAGAGCTTTATGAAAGCAGGTGAAAGCAAAATGACATTACACATTACTTTTTCAACTGATATGTATATATCATGTACATCGTAGTATAATCAAATTGATAGCAAGACACAAAAATGTCATTATTGCCAGAGAGGTTTGAGATGTTCAAACAAAACAGTCAGTACAGTTATTAGAAAACAGTTTATTCATCACATGTTAGAACAACGGGCCCAGAGGGGCTGTATCGCTCACCTGGATATGTTAAAAGTACTTGATATGAGATAGATATAGCACTTCATGGTAGGTACTGGATGTACATATGAAATTTCAGAAAGATCCATACAGTATTTCTGGAGATATAGCTAGAACAAACTTCAAATGTTAAAATCCAAGATGGCAGTCTGGTGGCCATCTTGTTATAATGAATGCACCCTAATAGTAACAGGCAATATACTAGACAACATGATGGAGAAAAAATTGGGATAAAATCCTGTAACCTCTTGCACCATACCAAATTGGGATGAAATCCCTTTATCCTTATGATAGAAGGAATTTAAAAGTTTACCTATATTTTGAGTGCCCTTAGTTAATGGCCCAAGGATGCTCTAGACCAAATTTAGTAAAATTCCACTAAGCTGTTCAGGACTAGTAGCGTTTTAAAGAAAAAGTGACAGACGGACGGACAACGGACGCAGCACCATGGCATCAAGCTAAGCTCATGATCATTTAAAATTGCCCTTTGGGCAGATGAGCTAAAAATTATAACAACATCAAAATCACAGGATCTACAGTTTTGAATATGCAATAAATATTGCCTTTTTGTTTTTCTCATTTAAACACATTAAATGCAAACATTTATAATTATTCTTTTCTTCTAAAATTATCAATTATCTAGTGGATAGTTTCAAAGAGTGATAATTTTCAAAAGATATTCCATTTCAAAAACTGGATGATTAAAGTATTTGAGTTTCAATGGTAACTTCCACAAAAAAAATGTTAATATTATATAATTTCACTCAATTCTTTAATTCAGGTAAGAGAGTCTTCTTTCTGTACACATATATCTCTTTTAATATAACATCCACTTTTTTTCCATTTTTGGGTTATAAGCAAATTTTCCATCTTTTTCATTCACTCTTTTTCGGGCTAAAGAAATCTTCCACCTTTCTTGTTAAGTCAATCATG